TCCTTGGCTGTGACTGTTTTGGGTGCTGTTGTGCTCCTAGGTAATTATTCTTGGCCTTATAGTTTAAGCCATCAGAAAAGTTTTTCTAGATAACGTCTCCAGCTCTTGCTAGTCTCAGTCTGTTGAATTTGAGCCTTCTATTGAGCTTGCATTATCATGCTGCAACAGGGAACCAGGGTTGAACATAAGTTCCTTTGCTTTTCCTGGTTTCCTGTACATTTCTGAATTGTGTTTGTAGCAATAAATACTACCTTTAAGACAATTTTGATTTTAAAATTGCTTTAAATTTAACTGAAAAATTAAGTTACTATTTGTGACACTTTATAAATCAGTATTGGTAAATTATGCTTTGCTAAAGCCCATATATGTTCAGATTTCCTTAGCTTTTTACCCGTTTTTCTAAATATTATACAATAGGATACATTTTCTAGACAGATTTACATTAGGTCACCTGTTTGCTTAAATTCCTCTAAACTGACATTTTCTGAGACTTCTCTAGGCCAGAGGTCGGCTGTCATATAGAAAAAGTTCTTGAGTTGGGATTTGCTGCATCTTTTCCTCATGTTTAAATTGGGCTTGTACATTTTTGAGAAGATCATGGATCTAAAGGTCACTTCTTAACATGTCGTGTCACAGACACATGCTATTAGTATAAAGTATAACTGCTAATGTGAGCCTTGATCAACTGTGTATCTGGCGAAGATTGCTTGTCAAGTTTCTTTACTCTCAAAGTTACTGTGACCTCCACTCCACACCTTTCTATTCTGTTCCTTGGAAGAAGTCACTGCATGATGACTGAAAGTTGATTTCTTATTCACCTTCTTTTTAAAAATGGTCAAATGTGGGTGTGTTTGACCCATAATGTTGGATTATTGTTACCTTTTCCTCATCAGTTTTCAGGGACCCAGCATTCTTCCAGTTTGTTGATCTTCCATGAGTTTTTGCCATCTAAATCCAGTCAGTGTTAAGGAGAATAAAATGTGGAGGAGAATGTGTGCTTTTAAAAGCTTTGGCCTGAAAATGGCACATATCACTTCCACTTACATTCCATATGACACTCATTCATCTGCCAAACCTAACTGCAAGGGAGGCTAGGACATATGGTCTAGCTGGGTGCCCAGGAAAAAGAGGAAATGGATTTGGGAGAAAAGCTAGCAGTATTTGCCACACCATTTTAGAGAGCAAGAGATTAAAAAGCTGACACCCTTGATATACTAATCTAACCATCATTTTCATAAAGGTGAAAAAAATGGGAGAAACATGATCTTAGAAACAAGGATTAGTTTACAAAAACTTATCTCACTAACCTTATCCTTATTTTACTATTGACTTGTGAGCATTTATTGAGAATACATACATAGTTGCATAGCATTTGGGAACTTCAGTACACGTTATGTGGATATCAGAGTGTGCTTTATTTCTAGAATATACTATGAGTATTTTTCTTTGTTTTCCTTTTCTTCCATCCATTTCTTGTCTGTCTGTAATGGCTTTCCTCTGTTTTCTTTGCCCATAATAAAGGTCAGTCTATAACAAAGCAAAGTGGTAAAGTGATGGATAAGTTGCCTTCACATGGCCTTGGCAATGTCTTAGCTCATTGCCCTGCTGTGCACACAAACCTCCACACCGCTATCCCTCCATGAACATCTGTCCCCCACTTTTATTATATAAATTAACTTTAGAATTAGACAGTGTGCTTCCTGAAGACAGTATGCTTTGTTTCTCTTTAGATATCTTTATTGCACAAATAAATACTATCTTTAATGAATGTATCCAGGATACTACAGATGCCAAGAAGAGGTTTTGTTTTGTTTCGGATCATGACCACTGGGGCTCAGAACTTACTCCTGGTTCTGTGCTCAGGGATGACTCCTGGAGGGGCATGGAGGCTGTGCCGGGATTGAAACAGGAATGGCCCCGGACAAGACAAATGCTTTTTACCCTCTGTACTCTCTCTTCAGCTCTATGTTTCTTATTTTTTTAACCCTTCACTTTTTCCCTTTCAGTAGTCACATCTGTAGGGATCTTGCTCTTGAGCTTGGAAGGACTGATGGAGTTTGATAGTAGGCCTAACAGGCCTACACCCTTTAGTAAGTGTGTAGGCCTGTTAGGCTTTCAGCAGTACAGTCTAGCTTCAGGTCATCTGCCCAGTAGACAGTCCAGTCTCCTTTGAAGCACAGACAGTGCAAGACATTCACTTTTATGAATCATCGATTTGCTCGAGGCCCTCCCGTTGATCATTGATTTGCTCGAGCGGGCCCAGTAACGTCTCCATTTGAGACTTTGTTGTTACTGTGTCTGGCATATCGAATACGTCATGGGTAGCTTGCCAGGCTCTGCCATGCGGGCGAGATACTCTCGGTAGCTTGCCAGGCTCTCCGAGAGGGGCGGAGGAATCGAACTCGGGTCGGCCATGTTGGCTGCTTGCAAGGCAAATGCCCTACCACTGTGCTATGAATCATCATATAATTAAAATTCAGACTCTGAGCTTGTACTCTAAGCAGACTTCGTTGCTCTTGAGCAGTAAAGCTGGTTGCTCATTATCCTGAACGGGAGTTTCCAACCTGAATTCCCAGAGCTCCAACAGGAGGATAGTTTCACCATAGCAAAAGATGTGTTTAATTACAGCTACTGAAAGAGGAGCATGAAGAAAACAATCATTTGCAGGCATTAATTACTCAGCCGCCATGCCTCTTATTATCAAGCAAAACATGACATCTTAAAGTAACTTAATCAAACTTATCAGAAATAAAATATGAATTATAGGATAGAGGTCTCTTTTCTTTATTCTATCATTTTTGTTCCTAGTTCTTCCTTCTACCCTGTTCTCTTTGTCCGCTGTTCACCTTAGGGACTCTACAAGCTCAATTAGTATTACACTAAAACAGAAATTAAAAGACATAGAGTCTATTTCAGAAAGCTCATTCTCTTTCACTTTTCCCTCATTTCCATAGAGGGAGAATTAGATCTTAATTTTAATTAGACCTAATAAATCGTGACTTATATTTTAAGAAGGTTTCATACTTTAGATTCTACTCTTCACTTCTCAATAATTATAATTAACATAAGGATTGTTTTTACCACTAAAATGCAAAAAAAGTAAAATTCAAATGTTGAATGATTTTCTTAGGACAACCCAGGAATTGTGGTTCAAAGCTGGGTCTGTTGATCCTATTACTAGAGTTTGTGGGGTCACTCTGGGCTCCCTACCCATCAACCACTGAGTCTCGGGCAGAGGCATTTATTTTTTTTTTAATTTAGGGATCTTCATTTGTAATAATCAGAGTTTCATGGAAGAGGCGATCTTGTGCTGACCCTGTGTAGAACTTTTAGATGGTAATAAGGATACTCGCTATTATATTTTTGAGTATTTTTTGTAAGCTACATTCATCTCTGAAATGTCTATGGCATGTTGGTATGGAAATCAGTGATTAAAGATGGATTTATCTCTTTAATTTTACCACTACTTAGGGCAGTGGATTGTAATGCACTCAAGCAATTCAGGTTCATTCTTGTGTCCTAGCAATTACTTAGCTTACCTCCTAGTTATTATTATTAACAATAGCACTTAGTTAATAATGGAATTAATACTCACAATTTGTTGATATATAATTACCAATCACAATGCTAAATTTTAACTTTAGTTGTTTCTTTGTAGTCCCTTTTCCTCATTCTCAGTTTTTTGGCGTCTTTTCTGCTGCTTGTTCACATGTCTTCACATGTGAAGGTTCACATAGGCACTGTCTCATATGTCTAACTGTATGTGATTATCAAATTTGCCAAAAGTAACCATTGACGTGTATTAGAGGAGCAAGTCTGTTCTCCAAACGTTAGGTGCACTCACCGCTTAGGTACCATTGAACAAAAAGAATTTTTTTTAGATTTAAGCATCAATAAAGGTGAATAGTTTAACACAGTACTTATTTGCATTTCACTTGAAAAAAGAGATTTGTTATACATACCAGTTGAATAAGTGGGTGATGAAAGAAAGCTGTTAATTGAAATTCAGCATTTGTCCTTCTGAGGATAATATGTTGCTACTTCAGCAATCGTAGGGTTTCCATCTTGGTTTTTGTTTTTATTATTGGAAGCAATGTTTTCCTGTTTGTGTTCATTTTTAGGAAATAGAGCAATAATGCTCTAGAATAATCTAATTTTTACCCAAAACTGAATTAGAAACAAAGATGGTAGTAATTCTGTAGAAATAAGATTGTATCCAACAGCATCACAGTGAGAAACTTTTAAATATTTACTCTCTGATGTCCAAAAACCAGATGTGGCATTCAGAGTTCAATTTGATAGTATTAGTTCACAGATAGTTTATAAAAGTGTACACTTTTCTTTGGTTGAAATACATAGAGAAATGTACATGATTTCGTTTTTGTTCGTGTGTGGAATGGAGAAAGGACATTGGCCGCAGTAGGACTCCTATCTGATGAGGTATATACTGAAAGAGAAATTTGTTTGCTCACCCTTTTCTGAGACATTTCATGGTCATAGGGGTTTTACTTTTCCCTCTGGTTCTCACTGAGCCATTCTTTTGACTAAATTTAACCAGAATTTAAAATCTAGAAGTTTCATTCAGCAAGAATAGATAGCTGTCTTCCATGTCCTGTAATTCCTCTTTGAAGCTGGGGAAATATGATGGCAGTTCATCTAAACAGTCATTTGGGAATGAGACCATAAACTTGGTGACATCTTGTAGTCAGATACCAGAGGCACAAGGATGAGAGACAATTCATCTTTTCAGGATGTCTCTGCATTTTTCTAATTGAAATCAACTTATTTACCTTTCAGTTATGGTTGCAAGTACAGTGGGTCTTCCTTTAGAAGGGAAAATAAAAGATAAATTGCTAAAACGTTCCCCTTCCAAGTACTTATTTTAATATTTAAGCCACTAGTATTTATGTGTTTACTTAGAGAACTTTTTGACAATTTGCAAGTGTGTATTTTTTTGAGCCAAATAAAAATCTAAATAATCACTTCCTTTTGTTTTGTAGAACCCCAGCTGAAAGGAATTGTGACAAGGTTATTCAGCCAGCAGGGATATTTCCTGCAGATGCACCCAGATGGTACCATTGATGGGACCAAGGACGAAAACAGTGACTACAGTAAGGAACATTAACTTTTTGAAATTCTCTTATAATCAAATATATGGCTTAGAGTATCTGAGACTCAAAACAAGGACAAGCTGCCGTTTGAACTATTTATCTGAGAGTAAGCTGATGACTTTTCCTTTACCCTTCTTCCTAGACTTTCTTTTAACAGAGGCACAGATAAGGGAGAGAAGTTATTATGTACTAAATTAGTAAGTAGGGAACTCAAAAGAGTCTCAAAGGGACCTGCATACCCTCCTACTCCATGTCTATATTCAAGAATAAGTGTGTAAGTATTCCATAGGAACAAGATAGACCTTCCAACCCAAGATGGTGTTCTAATCATGAAAGAAAATAGTATATTTTAACAATTATAAGAATAAAATTCCTGGAAGACACAAAATTACTTCTTAAGGTAAACAATAACTACACACAATTGCTTATTAAGTGTTATTTTCTTTTTGAGTAAGGGCCTAGTTATTGATTTTCAAAGAAGTGCAGTAATTACAATTCTTTTTATATTGTATGATAACAGTATAATATGACATTTTAGAACACATAGGATAGTAATAGTAAAAACGGGTAAATATCACACCTTGTAAAGTTTAAAACAAACAGTGAAATATTAAGATCATTAGTATTGCTTAAATTTGGTCATACTAATTAAATTATGTAGTTTGTAAGTTTACTAATTAGAGAAAAATCATCTAGTTGTGACAACTTATTTAATTTTGGATAAAAATTTGAAAACAAACATCAGAGCAAAGAATGACCATTCTTGTCATAGCTTTCATTTTTGCATAATTGTGTAGAGACATTCAGGAGGAGTTTTTGGCATTCTAAAATTATATATGGTAGCATATCGCTTTTGAAAGTTTATCTGTATTCACTGCTTGAAAGAAAATAGCTGAGCACATAGATCTTTAGATGAGCACATAGTAGGAATCTATAAGTACTTGTTTAATCAAGTTGCTTCCTAAGGTGTGTGATTTTGTGTTCATATTGACAGTCTGACCAAACTGCATAGGTAATCTAAGACTACATTTTGTGATGAGATTTCCCTTATGTTAAAAATAAAAATTTAAGAAAATATTTATAATCGCTCAAGTGTAAAAATGTTTTTTGTCTACTCCTTCTAAGTTATTCTTTTCCCACTTAATATTCCACATCACAAAATATGAATTACAATAAAGAAAAGATCTTATTATAAATAATTTTTTCTTGGTTTTCTGGCTCTCAGTTACAAAGTAGTTGATTAGCTTATTGTGGTTTGCATTGTTGGTGTTTATGTGAATGCATCTTTAAATGATTCAAGTTTTCAACTTAGTACAGAACAACGAGGATACTTTCCTTTTCATGTAGAATTTTCATTGACTGCAGCTTTACTTGAACGTGGAGTTAGAGAAGACACAGGTATAGATGGAAAGAATTAGGATTGCTTAGTTTTGTCATCTATACTGTTGGGCGTTTCCAGAGTTTATCTGAAATTTCCCCACAAACAGAGCAAAGCCCAAGGGAACAGCAGGCTACTCCAGATTGGTAGCAAGTAGTTTTAATGAATAAAATCTTCTGAAAAATTGTCTTGGGTGGCCTCAAACCAGTAATTTTGAAACTGAAAATGTAGAATGCGGTCAGGTTCTTGCCTTTTATGTGGCTGGCCCTGGTTTGAACCCCAGCACGATATATGATTCCCACGTACCACCAGGAGTGATCCCTGGGTATAGAGCCAGGAGTAAGCTGTATTTTGCTGCAAAACAAAACAAAATAGACCAGTAAGTTTTCCATGCATCCATGCAACTCCTGCCTCCACCAGATCTATTTTTGTTTTGTTTTGGGGTAACACCCAGCCTCCTTATGGTCTCAGCATGGGATAGGGGATGCCAGGGATGGAATGCTGCATGCAAGGATGTCTGCTGCATGTGAGGCAAGCACTGTTTCCTCTGTACTATTGCTCTGCCCCAAATCTTAAAAGATATGTGCATATATATATATACACACATATATACATAAACATATATGTGTGTATATATATAGGGGGAGAGAGAGAGAGAGAGAGAGAGAGAGAGAGAGAGAGAGAGAGAGAGAGAGAGTCGAGGGGCTGGAGAGATAGCACAGCAGTAGGACATTTGCCTTGCATGCGCCTGGCCCGTCTGAGCTGGGTTCGATTCCCCCGCCCCTCTCCGAGAGCCCGGCAAGCTACCAAGAGTGTCTCGCCCGCACGGCAAAGCCTGGCAAGCTACCCACGATGTATTCGATATGCCAAACACAGTAACAACAAGTCTCACAGTGGAGACATTACTGGGCCCTCTCGAGAAAATCAATGAACAATGGGAGGACAGTGCTACAGTGCAGTGCAGCTTTAATCCATTCTGTATCTTTAGAACCCAGAATCATCTCTGTTTTTCCTTCCTTGCTTTTGCAACTATACCTAGCAGTTCTCTGGAGCTCCTCCTGGCTCTTTGTTCAGGGTTGCTCTCGTGCTTGAGGAACTGTGTGGTGCCAGAGATCAAACCTGGGCCTCGAGCCTGCAAAGTGTGTGCTCAGCGCATTGGCCCATCTCAGCCTCAGCAGTGGGATACCCTGGGAAGTATAGCCTCCAGCCTTAGGCTACACTTTCATATTAGTATGCATTTAACAAAAACTAAACGGATGAATGCATATAGACCTATGTATATTTTTAAAAGTTTCTTTAGGTCATTAGTAAATAGGACTCTGGATCCAATTCCAAATGAGTTGGTACTAAGGCTTCCCCTGACCAAGAAACATTTCTCCTTACCAAAAAACAAACCATCAATTTGATTTGATGGTTTCAATTTGAAGATTTCAATTTGATTCAACCTTACATTATTGTAGCTGGTGGTTGAGTAAGGAACCAGAGGGAGGGCAGATAGACACTTCTCTGGCTGGGTGGGTATGATTCTATCACCTTCCAGCTTGGCCCATCTCAGCCTCAGCAGTGGGATGCCCTGGGAAGCTTAGGCCTCACCGATGTTCACAGAGCTCCTCAGAGTGGAGACATTAAGATCCTGACTTCCCAGGTTTCCTGGGATTGTTGGCTGTTGTTACAGAAAAGAATGCCAGGGAAAGACACATGGCGAATGAAAGTATTCTTTGTGGACTATGAGAAGGGGGCGAGTGGGGGGAGGGGACGGGGCAGGGAGGAAACCTGTTCCAGAGTTAACATAAATTTCTCCAGAGAGATATCGTGAGAGTATTATAAGTTAAAGGAATTAGACACCCCAAGGGCTGGAGTGACAGCACAGCAGGTAGGGCGTTTGGCTTGCATGTGGCTGACCCAGTTTTGATTCCTCCACCCCTCTCAGAGAGCCTGACAAGCTACCAAGAGTATCTCACCTGCAAAGCAAAGCGTGGCAAGCTCCCTGTGACATTTTCGATATGACAAAAACAATAATAACAAGTCTCACAATTTGTCGTGAGATGTTACTGGTGCCCGCTCAAGCAAATCAATGAACAACGGAAGGGCAGTGCTACAGACACCCCAGATTGCTGCAGGCAACTCTCACAAATTAACTTTGCCTCATAAAGTTAAAGAGAATGGAGGTACACCCAGGTTAGACAGGTGTGGGTGACTCCGAGACAGGGTGGAGAGTCCTCTGTCAAACAAGATTGCTGCATCATCTCTTGGTGGCCTCTTGAAGAACTTCAGCTGCTTCTGACTTTATGCAATTCACCCACCTTTGTTGCCAAGGTGACCTGCTACCCATTTACCTGCATCCTTACACACCTGTGGATACCATATTCCACAAGAAATGAGTTCAATCTTTTGGGGCTGGAGCAATAGCACAGCAGGTAGGGCGTTTGCCTTGCATGCGGCCGACCCGGATTCGATTCCCAGCATCCCATATGGTCTCCTGAGCACTGCCAGGGGTAATTCCTGAGTGCAGAACCAGGAGTATAAACTCTGTGAATCGCCGGGTGTGACCCAAAAAGCAAAAAAAAAAAATAAGAAATGAGTTCAATCTTTTAACACCAGCTCCTCTTCAGATGCTGTGATTCCGACACACTCTCTCAGAACAAAGATTCCTAGAACTCCTTTCTCAGGTTGGACTAATTTTCTAGAGTGCTTCAGAACTCAGAACTATGTTTTCTAGCTCACTGGTTTATTCACAGAGAGAGAACACAGGAAGAGCTTGGTCGAATCATTGCAAAGCGTAAAGTCTGAGAAGGACCAGAGTTTCCATGCCCTCTCCTGAGTGTCCATTCTTCCCAAGTGTCCAGGCGTTCACCACCCTGCAAGCTCTTTGACATTTCTCCTCTGATGTTGTATGGAAGCTTCACTACTGAGGTGTGATTGGTTGACACTGACCCCTGAAAATTTATTACTGGCAATTGAATTCCGTTTTCCGCACTGCATCCTTCCCTGGATATCTGAGTAGGGGAGTGGGGCTGCATGCTCCAAGTCCTTTCTTTGATCAACTGATTGGGTCTTTTTTGGCAGACACCTCTTTTCTTAGGTACTTCTTTAAATATCACCACATTCGCTGGACAAAAAATAATGTTATCAAACCTAGCACTTAGGAAATTCCATGCCATTCCGAAGCTTTGTTCTGGGAATGAGGTGCAAATGGTTTTTTGTTGTTGTTGTTGTTGTTGTTGTTGTTTTGCTTTTTGGGTCACACTCAGCGATGCACAGGGGTTACTCCTGGCTCTGCACTCAGGAATTACCCCTGGCGGTGCTCAGGAGACCATAGGGAATGCTGGGAATTGAAGAAGGGTCGGCCGCCTGCAAGGCAAAAGCCCTACCTGCTGTGCTATCACTCTAGCCCTGAGGTGCAAATGTGTACGAGAAATTTATTTGGGGCATGTGAATGATAGAGTAATATGCATTTATATACAATCTATGTATTTTTATAAATCACAATATTCTATTTTAAATAAGCACTCTATCCACAATCCCTTTTTTTGAATGTAGCAAATTTTATTAGAAAATAGAAGAGGGGGGGTATGGTGCCGCCAGCAGGTCAGTCTTTATCTGTGAGGCGAGTGCCTGATGG